CAGCTGGAGCTACAGGGAGACCCTGTCTCAAAAAGACCAAAAAAAGAAATTAGTGTGTGTGTGTTAGTGTAGGCTCTTGTGGAGGTCAAAGGGACAACTCCTAGGAATTGGTTCTTTCCTGCCACCTTGTGAGATCCTGGGATCACACCCAATTCGTCAAGCCTTTCTTGGTATACTACCCTCTGGCCATCTTGCTGGCCCACAGTATACTGCTTTAATTGGTTCAAGATTCTACCAGTGGTTCTGCCTGCATTGTTAGAACTAAAGGGACCTTGGAGACACTCCCTTTACCCTTTCATCTCATAAATGAGGATTAATTTCAATTCCAGAGTTGGCTGCCTAGGTTCCAGGTCCAAATCCTAAACCTATTTATTAACTGTGATGTTGGGAAGTTGTTGATATCATATAGATCATGTATTTCCCTGTATAAATGGGTTACAGCAGTGTTCCTAGGTCACTCAGTGGTGATTGAGGTTTAAGTGGTTGGTTCCTCTGCCATTCAACCAGTCTTCCATCCCTTAAGAGTTACTTCATTAACATAAACTCTGGTAAAGTTGAAAGGTGTTATAAATAATGAAACACTCATATCAGAATTCCAAGGGTTTTAGGCGCTCTTAAGGGACTAGACTTGAAGGCCAAATAGGTATTTTTTGCTATTCTACAATGTCACAGGAACACTCTGTAGCGTGCATATGGGGGCCAGTCTAGATTCCTAACAATGTTTTTCTTTTTCTAGAGGAACCAGAGTAGCATCTCCCAGTGGGTTCCAATATGTAGCCAACTGGTACCAGTGTCTCCTACACAAAGACAGTGGGGCAGGACTCTGTCCAGCACTTCCCAGGTAATGTTTGTAGATCCCTTGCTTGATATGAAACCTTAGTGTTTACATGCAAGTGTCATGTATTATAGATCAGCCAACTAAATTGTATAATGAAAAAAACTCCATGAGACCACTTTGAGCTTCCATGGGACCAGCTCAAGACTGATTCCTTCAGTATGGTGTCTAGGGCGTTGCTTCTAAATACCCCAGCAGTGAAACTTAGCCTAGGATACCATGTTATATCTGATGGTTTTTATTGTTAAGGAGTTTTTCCAGATATTCATCTCAAAAAGTTAACTTTTTAGTTTTCTTTTTGAAACTACTTTATGCTATTTTTCTTTAAGTTGAGAAATGTTTTTGTTTTTCTTTTCCCTTTTTATAAACATAAAATACAAAAACAATTATTTGAGGCCCAAGTTTACTATTGACAACATCATTTATTGTACTTGTAGGTAACCTTTGGCTCTTTAAAGGGGTTTATTTTCTTGATTTTTGTTAGCTGTATAATACTTTAGTAATAAAGGAAATAAAAATCACTTATGACTTCAAATCTGAAAATAACAGTATTTTCATCTCTGTTGACTCTCTTCCAGCCTTTATGGATCTGTCTGCATACTAATTTTCCCCTTAAGTACCTTAACAAAGGGCTGGGGATAAAGCTCAGTACCTTGTGTGCATGAAGAACTGGGTTTAGTCTTCAGCACTTTAAAAAAAATTGTCAAGTACTTTAACAAATACCAAACAGCCATAGAATTTTATATTCCAGTGTCTTTTCACTTATAGAGTACACATTATTCATGTTTAGATAGCTCTTGCTATTGAAATTGTAAATTTGTTCTTTTTTTTTTTTTTGGCCCCCTCTTCCCTTCCTCCCTCCCTCCCTCCTTTCCTTTATTCAAGGTCTCACTCTATAACCTTGGTTGGCCTGGAACTCACTCTGTAGACCAGACTGGCTTCCAAGTCCGGAATTTTCTTGCTTCTGCCTCCCAAGTGCTGGGATTAAAGGTGTGCACCACCACAGCTTTCTTCTGTTTATTGATTTATTTTTGTTCTTTTTTAGACAGGGTCTCCCTATAGCCCCAGCCAACCTGGAGCTCACTATGTAGACCATGCTGCCCTTCAACTCATGGAGATCCACCTGTTTCTGCCTCTCAGCCTTCTTTTCTTTTTGGTCTTTTTGAGACAGGGTGTCCTTGTAGCCCCAGCTGTCCTGGAACTCACTATGTAGACCAGTCTGGCCTCGAACTCACAAAGATCCACCCACCTCTGCCTCCTAAGTGCTGGGATTAAAGGCGTGTGCCACTTTATTTATTTTTATTTATTATTATTATTTTTTAATTTTATGTGTATGAGTGTATTGCCTGATATATGTGAGTGCACCCGTGTTGTGCAATGCTGCAGAAGTTAGAAGAGGGCTTTGGATTCCCTTGGAACTGGAGTTAAGGATGGTACGTAGCCACCATGTGGGTGCTGGAAATCGAACCTGGGTCCTCTACAAGAGCAGTCAATGCTTTTAACCGCTGAGCCATCTCTTCAGCCCCCAGCCCTCTTTTTTTTTAAAAAAAAAAAATTTTATTTATAGCACATGTCTTTAATCCTAGCACTTGGGAGACAGGTGAATCTCTTTGAGTTCAAGACCAGCCTGTCTACATAGCAAATTTCAGGTCAGCTGGGGCTATAAGGAGACCCTGTCTTAAAAAGATAAAAAAAAAAAAATCTTATTATTTTTACGTGTTTGAGTATATTGCCTGCATGTATGTAAGTGTACTGGTGGTGTACATTGCCCATGGAGGTCAGAAGAGGACATTGGAGCTATGGATGATTTATTGTTAGCTGCCGTATGGGTGCTGGGAACCAAACTCAGGTCTTCTGCAAGAGCAGCTAGTGTTCTTAACTGCTGAGCACTCTCTCCCACTCCTTTTTAATAGGGAGTTTAATTACTCTGTCATCAAAATGGAGTCAAGTAGTTTTGACTGGCTTATTTCACTTAGCCTAAGATCATCAAGGTTCATCCACATTGCAGCATGTAACAGGATTTTTTCTCTTGAAAGCTGGCATAATGTTCCAGTGCATACATACCATATTTTCTTTATTCATGTGATTCATTGGACATTTGGGTTGCTTCCACTTCTTGGTTGTGGATAATTTGTAGTGAGCATGGAAGTGCAATGATCTCTTTGAGACCCTCTTTTGAATGCTTTTGAATAAATGTTCAGAATTGGATTGCTAGATTATGTGATAATTCTGTTGATGGTTCTTTTTGTTGTTGTTGTTTTGTTTGTTTGTTTGAAAGGGGTCTTCCTGTAACTCCAGCTAGCCTGGAACTCCTAAGTAAACCAGGCTGGCCTTGAATGTCTACCTGTGCCTCCCGAATGCTGAGATTAAAGTACTCTTGATGGTTCTTAATAGAGTTTTTTGCCTTGTAGTGATTTTCCTTTCCTGACAATCCTACATTTATTGACTGAGATTCTTATTTATTTATTTATTTATTGAGACAAGATCTCACTATGAGATTCACCTGCCTCCTGAGTGATGGGATTAAAGGCATGTACCATCACACCTGGCATTGAGATTCTTTTGTAAGGAAGAGCTGTGATTTCTTTTATATCAGATTAGCTCATGAATATTTCTTTCTTTCTATGAATTATAATCCATTTTCTTATTAGTTATTTGTTGATTAAATTGTCCCAGTTTTGGCTCTTGGAAACACCTTCAAATTCCTCTCTGTGTGCCTCCATCAGTTTTTGAAATGTCCACTTATTTTCTGGCACCCCAAAGATTTTCAGGTTCATATTATATTTTCTTTGCTCTAGCCTAGATTCAATCACTTCTTTATGGAGCCCTCATTCCTTTTATTGGAGAAAGGGGAGGCATAGTGATAAACTTAGCAAACCAGGACCCCTCTTGGCTTGAGCTACATACATACCCCTTTCCTATGCATTCAGCAACCTGGAACCCCAACTGCATCAAGCTGCATACGCAATCCTCTCCAAATAAAACAGTTGGGTTACCCTGTCTTATAGCTCCCTAGAAACCCTTTGTAACTCCCCTGGCTGGCCAAACAGCCTGAAACATAACCTGGAACTAAGGTCAGTAGGCCAATCAATGCAGCCTGGACTCATTTTGTGTACATTCAGCAGCAAAAAGGCAAATTGTGTCTTCTTGGTGTACTTTTAGGGGGAAAAAAATCCCATATTTACCGGCTTATGCCTATGCATGATTAGGCATGCACATGATTCAAGCCTAATGGTCATGAGAATGGACATATGCATTAAACAGAGGTTTACATATCCCAAGCCTAGCCATCAGAACAGAAAACCACCAATACTGCCTCTGGCAACTAACTTCTCCTGGACCCATAAAAGGAAGCCCTGGGCAGTAACCAGGTATTTTTTTGAGCTGTGTGCTTGCTCAGGACTCGATGCTCTTTTGCAGTATATCTGTTCTGTATTTTTGCTTTGCTTCTGAATAAAATCCCTTGCTTCTTTGCTATACATATGAGCTCTTCAGGTTTTTTTTTAATTGTTGTTTTTGGGGGGGTCTTTTTGAGATAGGGTCTCCCTGTAGCCCCAGCTGTCCTGGAACTCACTATGTAGACCAGGCTGGCCTTGAACTCACAGAGATCTGCCTGCCTCTGCCTCCCAAGTGCTGGGACTACAGGCGTGGGCTTCCATGCCTGGCTTTGAACAAGATGCCAAGAACCCGGAAATGCCATCCAGACCCAGACCACTGATAACAGTAGTATTTAGAAATCAAGATTTGAGGGCTGGGTGTGTAGCTTAGTGGTAAAGCACTTGCTTAGCTTGTGCAAAGCCCTGTATTTGAACCCGAGTACCGGACAAAATGAAAAGCAAGAAAGCAAGCAAACAAAACAAACAAATCAAGATCTGGGTACCAAGTGCACCTGAAATCTACTCAGGTTTTTGAAGGTAGCTTGATACAGGGGATAGACATAGCTTTAAATATATGCCTTTCTGGGCTGGAGAGATGGCTCAGCAGTTAAGAACACTGACTGTTCTTGCAGAAGACCCAGGTTCAAATCACAGCACCTACATGGCAGCTAACAACTGTCCATAACTCTGGTTCTAGGAGATCTGACAGCCTCTTCTGTCCTCCATGGGCATTGCATGACACAGGTATATCATACACATTAAAAATAATAAAATATTAAAAAAATACATGCCCTTCTCCCTAGTGAACATGACCACGTTGAGCCTAGGTGTCCTAATTCCTAAAATGGAAAAAACCCAACAGGTGGAACACGAAGCCTGTTGCTACTGGGCTCTAGAAAAACTTTAGTGAGTTATGGTTGCAGTTTTTATTTATGCTTACGCTATGTGAGTAAATTTTCCTCCATTGTATGAAGCAAAATTAAATATTGTCCTAAACCACCCTCAAGTTGCAGCCTCTCCCTTGGTTTTAGTTTCCTCATCTATGAAGTGAAAAAGTTGGACTGGAAGACCTCAGAAATTTCTTCCAGCACAAGTGTTGTTATTCTAAATTACTCCTTAATTCTTCAGTTGCCTTTTATCCAAGCTAAACAGCTTCAGTTCATTTTAACCTTTCCACTAGGACCTTTTATTCCTCCCTTTGATCATTCCTGTGGTTCCTTTTTGGATCCTCTCCAGGTTGTCCTTCTCTTTGAACAAAATAAAAAAAAAAAAAGCTACCTAGTTTTTATTGAATAGATTCCATGCCCAGAATGGTGTTGAGCATTGGGATAGAGAATAAAAAATATAAATGAGCTGTGCCCTGGTGGAGCTTACAGTTTTGCTAAACTATATACCCATGACATTCAAGACTGCTCGAGTCTATCCCAGCCCCCTGCCTCCTCTGTCCCTCTGTCCTGTGCTTTCCCTGCCCCCACATCAAGGAGATATCTTCACTTTCTAAACCTTTTTAATTTTTTTATTTATTGAGACTTGTATTTCCCAGAGTTGCCTTGAATTCTCTCTGTAGATGAGGATGATTTGAATGTTTGATCTGCCTATGTTCACCTTCTCTGAGTGCCATAGTGCTGG